TAATGCTGCCGCCCAGGCCGGGAATCAGGGCGAGCTCGCTCGTCTTGCGGGTCGCCTGGACCTGGTGGAGCGAGAGGTCGCGAGCCTGCACCTGCGGGTGGGTCGCCGGGCCTCTTCGTCCGATCTGGACGAGGCCTTTCGAATGATCCGACGGATCGAGGCTTTGTTGCCACGTCCGGAGCCGCCTGCGGCACACTCTTAGACGTACGCGTATGGTGCGTACCCGGCGTACTCAGCGTACTCGGCGTATGGTTCCGGGGTCCGTTCGTATGGAGCCCCTTTTCCGGCGTACGGCCTTGACCGCAGCCTTGCCGTCCCGACCGAGGCTTGGGTGCCTGCTCCGACGCCCTCGTCGACGACTGTGACCGGCCCTTGCTTCGAGGAGCTGGGTCAAGGGGGGGCTGCGAGTCAGCAACCCCCTGCGGGTCAAAGTACCGCTTAAGACGTCCGACATAGAACGTCGGGTGCGTCGTCATTGACTTTGGAAGGTCGATGGTGTACGACGCACCATGTCTGGCCAGGACTGCAAAAGGTCCGATGAAGCGGTGCTTCAGTTTGTTGCTGCCGACAGAGCTAACAGTGTCTAGAGGTAGGTTCCTCGTGTCTAGCGACACTAAGTCACCAACCTCAAATATACTTAAGTTTCCTCTTCCTTGTTTGTCTGAGTACTCCTTTTGTTTATCTTGGGCCGCTGCCATGGCATCGCGGTCCCTGCTGCCAATGTTCAGCTTGGTATCCAGAAAGGATTCCACCTGTTTCCGCAGCAAAACTGGTCTCACGTCCGAGGCCTGGGAGGAAAGGGCTTTCCGAGCCTCTCCCCCACTTAGAAGAGGAGTCAGTGTCTCCTCGAAGAGTGAGAGGCACTCTGGGGTGGCGGAAGCCGTTCAAGTAGAACGGCGTGAACCCCGTGGACGCGTGCACCGCGTTGTTGAGCGCAAACTCAACAACTGGGAGCTGCGTTGATCACGTACGTGGAGCTACCGCGCACACACTGCGCAGAGTGTCCTCGAGCACTCGGTTGACGCGCTCTGTTTGGCCGTCGGTCTGCGGATGGTCCGCAGTAGACATCTGCAGACGAGTTCCCACTAAAGGGAACAGCGTTTTCCAAAACGCGGCAGTGAACCGCGGGTCTCGGTCCGAGACAATCGTCTCCGGGAGACCGTGATAGCGGAACACGCCATCGACGAACAACCTTGCGGTTTGTTCGCCCGTTACAGTGACGGGAACTGGAGCAAGATGTACCATCTTGATCAGCCGACACACGAACATCAAAATTACGGTGTTGCCGCGTCCGTCGGCGGGAAGCCCAAAGATGAAGTCAAGACTCATCGACTCTCAACAATCAGCCGGTACGGGCAGGCTCTGTAGTGGAGCCGAAGAGTGCCCTGCGGGTTTGACCCGCTGACATGTTTCACATGTCTTGACGTACCGGGCGACCCACTTGTATATGTGGGTCCACCAGAAGGACTGCGAGACCGACAGAAAGGTCTTCTCGCGGCCCAAGTGGCCGCTGGAGGGCGCGTCATGCGCCTCCGCGAGGATGTCGAACTTTAGATCCTCGTCGTTGGGTACGACCACCCGTGGAGGATCAGTGGGCTCCACCCGATAATAGAGGAGGCCCTCCTTCAACTCATATCGGTGGAGCCGTGAGCGCTGTCGCGACGAGAGCAAGTCGAACTTCGCGCTCGTTCCGGTCTTAAGGAACTTGACGATAGACGCGACAGCCTCATCGTCCCGATACGCCATGCGTATCCGATCATATAGATCCGTTGTCACCCGCGTGATGTGGGCCAACTCATAGTCGGGACGCCGAGAGAGGGCGTCCGCAAGCACGTTGAGCTTGCCCGGTTTGTATTCGACGCGTAAGTTGTGTTCCGCGAAGAAGGACAGCCACCTCGCCATCCTTCCGTCATTTCCTCGAGGTGCAGTATCTCTGCAACCTCTGGAAACGGTTCCAGGTGGACACCAGATGCCTTGACGGGTAAACCTGTCTCGCCATCGAAGATGTGATAACACTCTTCCACCGGCCTTGTCGGAGGAGCCCGGGCCCTGGACTCCGAGTCGCTTGAAGCGACGTCGATCGGAACGAAGTTCGGATCCGACTTGAGGCGGCGGCGGCGTCTTTGTCGACGGCGTCTGTGACGGGGAGCTTTGCTGCCCACGTCTAGGGATGTCGTCGCTACGACATCCGAGGCACTCGTGGTCTCGTGTGGTACTGTTGTACCCACACAGGAAGCGTGTTCAACGCCTTCCTCTTCAGTTAAGGTCTGGGCGACCGCGTGTGGCACTGTGTTACCCACACAGGAAGCGTGTTCAACGCCTTCCTCTTCAGTTAAGGTCTGGCGACCGCGTGTGGCACTGTGTTACCCACACAGGAGGCGTATCCGACGTCTTCCTCTTCCGTTATGGTCTGGGCGACCGTGAGTGGAACTCTGTTACCCACTCTGAACACGCTGTTCTCAGTGTTCATGACAGCTGCAGCTGTCTGCGGAACTAAGTTACCCGCCTGTGGACCTAAGTTACCCACTTGGCCGGCGCCTTATCTGGGCGCGGCCACCATCAAAACATCCTCGGAGTCATCATATACGTCGACGCCTCCCAAGCATCTGCTGGATGCTTTAGTACCCTGGCAGCCCTCGCGGGCGCCCCGGGTCCTGACAGAGGTGGGAACATGACTCACCAATGCTCTGTCGGACTGCGCAGGGCGGCTGCCACCGATAGCCTGCCTCGTCAGTCGATCCAGGGCTCGTGCTTCTCAAGTCAGGGCATGCCCAGGATCATATTAAATTGAATCCATATAGAGAACAGTGAACTGTTCGAGGCTGTCAAAGACTTCAAACTTGACAGCCAGATCCACTTGGACGTTGGGGACAGTGACGACCTTCCCGTCGGCCAGTCGCACTGACACCGTCCCGTTGCCCTTGCTTTCTCTCAAGCATCGGACAACTTGTTGCTGTTACGAGCAACCGTCTGGCGGCGTGCGAAATTCTTCGACGCCCCAGAGTCAATCAAGATTCTGAAGGGATGATCGTATCCCCGTACATATCCGTGTACTACGAGCAACCCGCCGCTGCTCTTCGCCGATTCGAGAGTGCGAAGACTCTCAGGGGCTAAATCCCCGTGGTACGCGCCACCCGCGCACCCATCACGAAGACTTAGTTCTTCCCCAGTAGGGCGCCCCGCTCCTACTGGTTCCCTGCGTTCCCCTGTTCCCGGGATCCTGGCTTTTGCCAGCGACCCTTGAGGACGGGCTTGGGGAAGGACCGTCTGCGGAGTCTTTCCGCGGGGCAGTCACGCTTGAAGTGGCCTATCTTCCCACAGCCGAAGCAGCGGATGTCACGCTGTTCGGCGGACCCGAGTTCCATGGGAACTGGTCCGTTGGGGCTTGTTCGACTGGGAGCCGACAAGGAACTCCCTGGCCACGCTGAGGCCGGCGTACGCGCCTGGCGATGGCTGTACTCTTCTTGAAGAGCCACTTGAATCGCCTCTTCAAGGGTGCTTGACTGCACCCGGAACAGCTGAGTGCGTGCGGGGCCCACTCGAAGGCCGTCCATGAACACAGTCATCTTGATATGTTCGTTGAGTGGGTCTCCCACTAGGGACGCCATGAGCTCCCGTATCTCTTGCACATACTCGTGCAGCTCGCGCCTTCTTTGTTTACACGCGAGGAAGCGCGAACGCTGGCGGTACTCGTAGTTCGCCGGGAGGAACGCGGCTCGGAGCTGTTCGCACAGCTGAGCCCAGGATGTGAAACATCCGGGGGATGTTGCTTCCCGAGTGTACACCCAACTCTTAGCACGACCGCTAAGGTTGGATAGTGCAAAAGCAACACGCAGTTGCTCGGTCGAGATCAGAGCCGCGTCCATCGCGAGCTCTACTTCTCGGACCCAGAAGTGAAGGTTCTCGCATTCCTTCCCTTCATACGGCTTAACCTTCAGCCGTATTGGCTTCGGGTGAGGCGGATTTGCTTCCGCCGCCGGAGCCTGCAGGTTCTCCGGCACATGCGTGATGAGGCCCTGCTCGTACGCGTCGAATGCATTGACGCGCTCGAGCTGCTCAGCCGGTGTTGACGCCACCAGGCTCTGCAGGGCCTCCATCCCGAAGATGCCTGCCATCTTCCGAACCGACTCGAACTGAGAGTCGTTCATATGGGAGAAGTCGTTCCTATCCATGGCAACGAACTTCGGAGAGGTTCAGGTAGTCTACCCGCGGTGGCGTGGATTGACTACAAGTGCTACCAAGTGTGACGGGGTCACACAGCACCTTGCGCTAGAGGAAGTTATCTTCCGAGAGTATACAAACTCTCAGTGAACGGCAGTTCACAGATCCCCTCTTTAATTAAAGAGAGCGAAGTGACCTAAATAAGGTAGATTGCAAACTGAGTATATATTTATAGGTAGGTTAAGTTTGGGTTTTATACAAACTATCAGTTACCTATAGAAATGCAATGTCATTTAACCAATGTTTGGCTTTGAACGACTTTGGTACCTTGTACCAAATATCCCGGAGTATGACGTGTCATACTCCTGAAGTGTGAAGTGTCACACTTCATGTAACCAGGGTACACTTAGGGCTACGTACCCCGTTACATGCAACGTGCCTTGCCAGCCGCCACAGCAGCCTCAGCAGCTTCTTGTCGCGACTCTCCCACCTCCGCCCGCTCGGAGCCTTGCACCTCCCAGCCAGCCTCTCACTTGCGAATTTCTTGCAGCTACTGCGCAGACCTCGTTTTGAGGCGAAGCGCTGTCCAACTTTTCAGTCAGAATCGGCGACTCGTCAGAGTTTTCAAGGTTCGTTTGCTGCCTTTCTCTCATCAATGGATGCCTGGTCTAACCCCCTGTTCACACATACCTAGCGCTACCAACAACCAGAGCACCGATGGTGACAGCGTAAGCGCCCACAACAGCGACAACAACCACCATCGAGGCACAACATCTGCTTGAGTGTCTCTGTTTCAGAGACCCGGCAACCAGACGACTGTCACAGTCGCTGTGGACGCGATGAGGACGACTATGTACGTTGTCATCACCACGTACACCCCGAGGAATACGACACGGAGTCACAGCCGCGTTATCGTACAGAACGTGCACGCACCTGACTCGGCGATTATGATTCTAGGGTGTATCAGTCTATTCGTACTGGAACCGACATCTACAGTCATCCGAGTTCATCATACAGGCTGTTCAAGCCGTCACCCGACTTTACAAGGAGCGCGGACGCTCTTTCACAGAACCAGGCCACCCTATCCTTGAAAGACGCCGACCTGTACGACAACAAGCTGGACACACACTCACATAGATCCTGTCATCAAGGGGCATCGCTGGCCACCGCCAGCCCGACTGCATAGCTCTTTGGTGCAGCGACCACGGGACAGTAGGCCGAGACAAGGTATACCTATCTAGACACCGCAAAACGCCGACATTGCCAGTAGTGGAGCAGTCACCGTACGAAAGGCGCTCGAGATCGCTACCAGCAAGATACTGCAGCTGGTCGTTCGGATACAAACTCGCAGCTGGTCACCCAATACAAACCTCCGACGATATGCCCACAGTGTGCGCACTGTATGTGCACAACATCTTCACGAACGGAAACACTACCAGAGCACCAGTAGTGTGGTAGTGTACCACGACCACGGTTGCCACAGAGGTCAACACAAGCAACGCTCAGTACTACATCTTCGCAGTGATACTACTAAACAAGGAGGAAGCACTCCCAATCATGCTCACTATTCCGATCGACACGCCCAATTTAAGCGTATACGGGCTATACAAGCTGAAGACTTCACCACCGATTAGGATTGGGCTGGCAAGAAGAACAAGCTGTCGGCCTTGCCAGACTACTAAGTGAATTCGCGCTTGGTGCTTGCTGATCTTTCACACAAGCATGTAAGGGATACAGACAACTAAACCCTTCGCTAGAACCAATTGAATTCCGAATCGGCAAGAAGATCTTCGGTTTATCAGCCTTTTCCGTACTATTTGGATACAGCTGTGCAAGTCTAATTAGCGTTTTCAGGTACTTTTTTGAGCAAATTACAACTTTCAGCGAGACATCGCGACCAACTCCACGAGAAAGTATGGACATTTCCCCATGCTAAATTTTTTTGCCCTCGTCGGCGTCGGAGAGCTCATAAATGTCATTTTTGTGGTGAGATCATGCCATTTTCGTCCAAATCGTGACGTCAGATAGAACGACAGACTCGTTCAAATCGGTGTCTCTAAATGTCAGGAAAATGAGATCACCACGATGAGCACTGTTCGTCCGAGTGATGGTCAAAGTCGTGCGTAGGAAGAGCACGATCGTCGAAATGCCAGGTTCTCCAAACTCGGCTGGATGAGTTTCTAATGAGACCGCAATGTTTCTTGTCCAGGCCATGAAAATGGCTCTTCCTGTGACTTACAGTGTCGTACCTCCATTCGTTGGTTGTTCGTCTACATATGTAAGTGTCACTGCTCGTAACTCACGGACGACTCGCCGAACAAATGGTGGTGTTGGCTTCTACATGTATTCTAATTGAGCATACTAGTGGTTGGTTTACTCGTTTTCAGCTTGAAGAAAGCTGGAAGCTATCCTCCGATGGGCGTGGTTTGGGTCCTGTGGCTGATTCGAACGAGTATGGTCTCTCTCTAGCTTCAAAGTGGCTATCGTCAAGTCGTGTGATCACCTGATTGCTCGGTCTGTGCAGTGTAGTGAGGCGTACTAGGAGGAGCATGCCCTGTAAGGTGAAAGTTTGGCACATGTGGCTGGTGGACAGAGCAACGTATAAGTTCTGGAGGTTTTTGCTATCGGCTTTTGTAAAAGGCTGATGGCACTCTGTGTCTGCCTCTGCACCGGCGTGGAGCTGGTGATATGATGATTCTTGTTGCGTGTGCTAACGATTGTGCGGTTTCCGTCAATAGAATGGCCACCAAACAGCCACGGGGTGTGGATTTACATCCAGGTGTCGGATAGTACTCGCTCCTCAACAGGTTAGGGGGAGTCATTTGAAGCTTGGCGCGCGTTTTCCTGCTCTCCAAACCTCTTTTGAAAACGGTGCTTGCGCTGCACGACGATTGATCGTCTGTTTGTCGCCATTTGTGATGACCTTCATCGATGGCTTTGAGCTTTCAGCTACTCGAAGCAGTCGTCACTCTTCAATTTCATTCAAAGACCCGAAGCTGAAGCAATCAAGCGTCGCAAGCGCTACGGACATGTACCGCGCTTCGTGAAGCACATCACCAGTGTAGTACAAGACTAAACAACCTTCGACTACCTCGCCAATACCAGCACGAGCGGCTTGTAAGCTGCTATCTCCCAATATGGCGAAACGATTTAAGCAAACAGACTGTATTGTGACCATGCCAAACAGACGAAGGCTGTCACTCGATGAATTGCTGTGGCTGAACTTGATCTGGCCGTCGTCATCTTCACTCAAGGAAGGAGCATCGACAACCTCTTAGCTTCTAACGCGGACACAGCAGCGACCTTAAGCTCAGGTATGATGTTGTTGCTTCTTGGTTAAATATTAAATTTTTTTTTTTTTTTATAATTTGATAATGCTGCTGACT